CATTTTTCTGGTGTTTGTTTAACTTTTGAAATATTTTCACGTTTATCTCTATCTTTACTTTCTACACATTATAACTACATACTTCTTCCCATGCAAAATAAGAAAATTTATCTCATTGTTTAACTTAAAAAAATCTTAGAGAAATGTATATATGAATAAAAAATATCTTCTTAAGCAATAAACAAATTCCTGGCCATTTAGTGTCAAATATCAATCACATGCAATGCTTATTGTGACATATATCTTGCACTCTTACTGCTGAAAGTATCTCAAGAAAAGAATGTCCATATTGTACATAATTAATTACTAACATAGGATGAGCAGGATGAGATTTTTTTTTTTATTTTGAATATACTAGGGGAGGGTTGGGTTGGGTGGTACGGGGGAAGGAGTGTAAGGAAGAGATCTTGAATTCGAGTTCTCCTGTTTACACAAAAAAAAAAAGAACATACTACAAGATGTTTTCAATAAATTTGGAACATACTACAGGCGGGATGCATGCATTTCGGAAAACAACTTCAGTAAGTTTGGAAGGGAAGTTGTTTTCCATAAGATGAGTGAAAATATTTTACATAGCAAAATGTTTTCAGTAACTTTTGTGCAACCAAACACGGGAAATTAGGAAAATATTATTTTGGAAAATATTTTCAGCCGAAACAAACAGATCCTTACAACCACACAATTACGCCTTCACTTCAAAATATAAATAAATAACATTGCACCTCTTGTATTTTCATTAATTCTTATTTTGAACTTTAGAATTCTATTTTGACATTGTTTGCAGTTATCGACTATGGTTGCTTTGCCTCTCAATTTTCAATAATTAGTATGCGTCGATCCTAAGACTGCGAACGAGTCCCAAATCACATGAATCGCGCCTATCAAAGGTTTAGGTATGTGAGTAATTTGGCCTTTCATAGTGCATATTGCGTACCATGCCATTGCTCCTTTTCTTATGAGGATGAAAGCTAAATATCAGTCATCAAGAAGCAAGCAATATGGACATATTGTTAAATGTTTGTCTGCGTTAATCAAATTAAATTAATCTCTTCAAAACTTTGGAGTACAAAATCTTCAGAATAGATGTTAGAATAGAAGCAAGAATTGACAAAAACATTAAGGGTGCAAAATGACATTATTCTTCAAAAATTCCATCTTTGTGTGCTATTCAAATGCGACTTCTCTAGCCCGAAGATGTGGTAGCTATATATATATATATATATGGAACATTCATGAAATACAGCTAAATTTACCCCACTAAAGCGTATGCTATTCTTGCATAAAGTTGAACTAAAACTAGTGGAACAATCCTAGATGAAGGGAATTTTAGCCTCACTTCTCAAAATTTTAGCTTCACTTCTCGTTGTTGAGAAGTTTAGCTAACTTTCAAATCAGGTATAAAGAAATTTAAAATAAGAGTTTTCTAATGGGTGCCCTAACAGGGCAAAAATTTACCTAACATACCATGTATATAAATATACTACAATCCTTATTTACTATCTCTTATATTCATTTACTGTGGTTTTTTATAGGAAAATTTTTACATTTTTCATGAAAATATTTTTCAAACACCCTTTTATCTCACATATATCAATTCGCTACATTACATTTTTCTAACAAAACCCTTTAAAATAGCGATCCAAGCGAGACTTTCAAAAAAATATGATACTTGAAATATATCTTAACGAATGCTAAAACAGACCCGTCCATTAAAATACAAACTAGCATCTTTAAGTTGTCTAATAGCGTTGTAGGCATATTTGTGTTAGGAGCTTAACAAAGACGTAGGGTGCACGAAGATAATAGATAATCACTACTTTTGCAAATTGGTTGAGGTGAAGGGGGTAAGAGCATCAAGGTAAAACATAACAAAAATCTTTTCGAATAATAAACGTCATGCATGATCATGATTTATTTCATTACGTGCCTTTCAAATCTCTCTATCATCGCTTTGATTGCGGGCAATACTCATATTACTCTTTTATTATGAATAACACGAGAAAAAGAAATCTGCCCCAGCGGCGGGTGAGATATTATGATATTGTCAAGTTGCAGAGCGGGATCTCAATTTTAGGGTTTAGTTTTAAGAATAAACCAGAGGTGATATTGAGCAGCACGCCGGCCAGTGGTACCGGGGAAAGAGGGGGCTGCGTACTGCTTTCTAAAAAGAAACGAAAATTTTTTAAAAAAAACAAAGAGGATCAAGTTGATCAAAGTGGTTGGAAACAGAAAAAAGGAAAAGGACAAGGAAGAAGAATTCTTGCACACCGGAGGAATCATCTCTAAAGTTGTACGACAAAGCAAGTTAAATAGTAAAAATGCAACTAGGACAAGCTTGCTGCAGTGTCAGAGAGAGATGGATGGATTGAACGGGAGAAACTAAAGAAAGTAGTAGTAAATTATACGTCCACTTGATGGGTATGGTGGCTGAAGTTACTGAACTAGCCATCTTGTTCCCTGTTACATCTTCAAACTGTACTGTGCTGTTAAAGTGATGAAAAAAGGTGGTTATGAACTCAAAAGAAAGGTAGTATGATTTCCCGTCCCCCCCTCTCATACTCTTTCCGAAAAACAATTGCCAGACGATATCATATCTCCAGTCACCCCAGTCTTGGTTAATGAGAAAATGGCTCTCTTTATCTCTGTAAACAGGGACATTAGGACAAACCAACAAACCTGCTTTTGTGGGTTTGGACAAAACCAACAAGCCTGCTTCACCACACATTTGTGAATGTAGTCGCTCATTGGATAAATCTTTTGCTAGAAAGGACATCGCGAGTCAATTCCGTTGCAGTACTTCACAGCCGGCAAAACCAAACAAATCAACCCATGAAGTTGTTGAATGGCCAATGGGCAAACAGCATGCATATATATTAATTGTTCATCAACTGTTGATCAACAAAGCAATGAAAATGTGCTTTCATGATTTGTCCAACCTTGCGTCTCCCACCCCAATTTACAAAAAACTGTTACCTAATCTATCTCTAAATAGAAATTCTACAATGTGGTATACCACGTCGTGGTAAAACTAAACCACGCCGTAGAAACAAGAATAGGAGTTTATTTGGATGATTTATTTGAGATAATTACTGTAACACTTTTTATGATGTAATGTATGTGAGATAAAAAGATGATTAGAATTTATGAAGCAAATTATTTTATCTGAAATTATCTCAATCCAAACAAACCCTCTTGGGATATCAAAGAATGTGGCAAAGAAAAAAAAAATCATGGGATATAACAAATGTGATACATACATACATATATATATCACGTGCCAATCCCATCTCCATAACATGCAAGAATATACAGCCAAATAAGTACTCAAAGGTGTTCCAAGCTCAATACTAAGATGTGCCGCCACTCATATATATATATATATATATATATATATATATATATATGCATGCCTTATTTGAGTTACATCGTACCGTGGTCACAGCTTTCTTCTTGTAGTATCAAAATTGGTTTGTTTGGATAGTGTATTATTTGAAATATTATTTAGAATAATTACTGTAGCGTTTTTTTGTGATGTGATGTATATGAGATAAAAAGATGGTTGGGAATATAAAAAAGTGGGTTGGAAAATGTATCCATGATGCAAGCGAAATATTATTTGGGATAATTGGGATATCCAAACAAACCTGAAATTCTTTCTTTTTTTAAAAGAATATATTATTATTCAAGAAGGCGAAATTGAGCTTGAACAGTTGGATTCTAGTTTTGACAAATGAGATTCATGGACGAACAAGAGATTGATGAATTACCGGAAAAATGTGTACAACTAACTACCATATATTGGAAGTGGGAAAAAAGAAACAGAACCATCTGGTACCCTTTTCTAATTTTTAAATAAAAATTTCTTTTTTTTAATCTTTTCCTGTGCCATCGTCTAAAATTATGAAAGGCAAAATTGAATGTGAAATTTGTAATACACTAGCTAGTAGCTAGGCGGCCACTCCTATTTATTTTTTCTCGTCCGATAAATAGTACAGTGATGCAAGTTGCATGGAGATTTAATAGCTTGCGACCGCACTTGCATTGCTTTTATTGTTTACAAGAGAAAAGATAATGACTACCACACAGTTTGCAATCATCTCGTTTGGGTTATTAATGGCCCGGCATTAATTGTATATTCACATGTATGTAGCCAAGTCCTTAGGGCCCTTTTCTCATGCTTAGTCTCACCCTCTCTCGGGATGTGACTACGCTTCCAACTATCTCCACTTTCTTTCTTTTTTTTTCCTTAGTGTTGTTTTAATTGCTTTTAGTTGTTGTTTATTCAACAAAAAAAAAAAAATTTTAGTTGTTCGAGCAGAGTGTTTGGATGGCAAGTTTTTTTAAATAATATTTCACTTATATCATAAATATATTTTTAAATTTTTTTTTATATTTTTAATAATTTTTTTATTTTATATATATCATATCATAAAAAATATTACAGTAATTATTTTAAATAATACTCTATTCAAACGTAGTACTACGTAAAACTTCTGTCACCCCAAAAAGTACAAAGAAAAAAAAAAGATTTCTACTTCGTGACTTTTTTGCTTTCTTCTTGACTTTTGAACTTCGAGAATAGGCACTTGTAGATCGATACGACTTGTTCCATATGTCTTAAATAACGTACATTTTTTTTTCTCCCCTGTTTTGCCTTCAATTTGCAGTAGCTTAAGGAACATTCGAGTTCTATTAACCGAAACGATCGAAAACCTCTATATATACCAGAACCCAACGAAAAGGAACAGTAAGAAAGACTGAGAGAAAGAGTAAAGAGCTGCAAATGTGGTCAATCGTGGTTGACTTGACTGATAAGCTTCTTTCACCTTACTCACGGCAAGCTCGAATTCAAGAATGTTTTCAAACCCGGACCGTCAATCGAACCGGTGAGGTGAAAGGGTCGAGGTTCAACCGGTCGGACCGGTTCAACCGGGGTTCAATAAATAAATAAATAAATAAATATATATATATATATATATATAGACACACACACCTATGCATAGAATAAGATATAAATGCTGAACCACAATAAATATAAGAGCAATATCCAACAATTAACACACACAATTAACATAGTTATGAAACTTACATGTCCAATTGTCTAAATATTAAAATTAACAAAAAAAAAATACAAGTCTAGAAAACAATCAAAAGGTCCAAACGAGTCCAATTTCTGAAGCTTCTATAATCTTCTTCATAATTCTGGGACAACAAAGCTTCAAAAAAAGCCATCTTGACAAGTCATCATCATCATCCAAGACCATTATATGAATCACTGACAAGTGATAAAAGTATAAAATCATATTAGTTTCATCACACCAACTGATACAAATCTTAAAAATAAAAATAAAAGAGTACAAATAATTCTATACCAATTACCATTTGAACATTTAATGCCAATCATCATCTTCATCATTAAAAAAGTTTCGACGCTGAAATGTTTCTAAATCAACATCTTCTGCTTCCTCTTCATTATCTAAAAAATCAACATATTTAATTATATACATATTCAACAATTGAATATCATATCATACTAGCTTTATTTTTGCATCAAACTAATGATTTATGTCAAACTAACCTTCAAGTTGTTCAGAATTTGAACATTGACCATGAATTGGAAGTTCTTCAAGCTCTTCCTCTAACTCCTCATAATCAAGCTCCCCTTCTTGTTCTTCTTCAACCACCCAAAATTCTGTTTTATCAATTGACTCATAATCAACGGGATCATACGATCTCTTTTGCTGATTATGCCTACAATATATATATATACACACAACATATACACTTAGTTAGTACTAAAATATTTTCTTAAAAAGAATGAAATGTCATTTATAAAAATAAACCATTTACATATACCTATACTGCAAACGCAAATTGTCAAGATCATTGAGCCTTTGATGCTCCAACCTATTCCTTTTCTTAGTATGAATACGTTCAAAAACACTCCAATTACGCTCACATCCTGAAGAAGAAGCTGTTTGACTCAAAACCCGAATTGCAAGTTTTTGTAAGTTGGGAGCATCACAACCAAAGAGCTTCCACCAATTCTCTGTCATATTCAAAATTTAAATATAAACAAAATATTTATAAATTAGATATATATATATATATTAGAGAGATTCAAATGCTAGAAAAATATAAATTACCTGGTCTATCTTTCTTGCTAGTAAGAATAGCAAGTTTTCTGCCAAAACTTCCCTCCCGCTCTCGATACATTCTAATTTCTCTTGTTAAATTTTCCACACTACACCAATCCACCTTTGATTCTATGTAATCCAACAAACCATTTGTAATTTCTGGATGTGTAGAGAATGTGGCGGTGTCATATTGAAAAGCGGGATTTAAAAAATATGCCGTAGCATGCAAATTTTTCCTCAACATCCTATCCCATCGGTCATTGATGATATCAATGTAAGGCTTATATAGTCTTTCACTACTCCTGAACAACTTCTTGATTCCAGTAATTGCTCTAAACATACCTTCATACACATACCCCAAAGAAGGCCTTTCATCAGTGTCACAAACTCTCAACAACCGAATAATAGGACCCATTATTCTCACCGTAATCAAACAATTATTCCAAAATCTATCATCCAAAACAATTTGTTTGACCTCTTTTCCTTTGTTCATTTTCAAGAACTTTTTGTAATCTCCGCTAGTGACTAAAGCTTGTAAGCTGTCTTTGTGATCATGTAAGCTCTTTAGTGCAATAAAAGTGGTGGCAAATCGAGTCTCCCCCGGACGAATAATCTCCCTCCACCCATTAGTTTTTCTCAGCCAATTTAGAACATATTTATGATTATACACAAAAACAGTTACTGTAGCAGCAAGAGCCACTAGAGATTTAACAGTACCCATTTCACCAATATCCTTCAAAATCAAATTGATACAATGGGCAGCACATGGAGACCAGCAAATAGTTGGATATCTTTCATTTAATAAAGTTCCAGCAGCCTTATAATTGCTAGCATTATCAGTGACTAAATGCACCACATTTTTTGAACCAACCATTTCAACAATTTCAGCAAACAGATTGCACAAATTTTCTGCATTTGTCACAATGTCCGATGCATCTATAGACTTGATAAAAGATATACCCTTAGGACAATAAACCAGAAAATTAATCAATGGTCTTTGTCTACTATCTTTCCATCCATCACCCATTATAGTGCATCCAGTTTCAGCCCAAGTATTTCGAAATGAATCAACAACTAACTGCACATCTTTCTTAGCATCTCGCAACAAAGTGACTCGCAAGGAATGATAAGATGGAGCTTTATAACCATGACCCATTGATGCAATTTGATCGATAGCTTTTTGAAAAAATGGAGAATTAACAGCATTAATGGGAATACATGCATCATAGAACCAAAGAGCAATGGCCATATCAGTATTTTGCCATTTATCCTTACTTTGCAAACAAGCTTTGATAGTAGGTTGAGCACTATCACGTCCACCCTTAAAGAAAGCATGAATACCTGTAGGGGCAGTGGTTTTTCTCTTTCCTTTACCTAATGATGTACCAGCCTCATTCATTGAAATTTCCCTTATTCGAGGAGGTGGAACCTCTTGCACTTCATCACCGACAAATTCGTGCACTGGTTGACCAAAAGGACTTTCAACCCCAAAATCTCCTCTTTTTTCTTTAGATTTTTTATCATTTTCTTGCAAACATGTTAATATTGCAAGCCTCACTGCTGGATCAACATTTGGACATGAAGTAACACTGCCCGTTACTCCTGCCAAGTGTTGCTTCATTCGGTGGATGCCACCCCCATGAAACACTTTAAAACAATAAGTGCATGTCATGGTTTTTCTTCCTTGTGCATTTCTGCCCTCAGAAACATATCCCCATGCTATATCTGTCTTTTGCCTATGACCTTGGGGCTGACTTGCAGATCCCTCACTATTGAATGGTCCCCCCGGTGAACATTGTGAGTTACTACCGCTACCAGCCTCCATCCTAAAATGAGATATTTAAAAATAACTAGTCTTAACAAATAATTAATATACACAAACTGAAACAAATTATTAAAGCTATTCGTATTTGGGAACTGAAACTGTCACCAAAAGATCTAAAGGGGTTAATGGAGACAATGAAACAACCGTTTAGCACGAGTGAAGTTAATTCCCTAAGCCTTGTGCATTTCTTGAGGGTGTTAAGTATCTTCACGATAACTGGGTTTTGCACAGAGATTTAAAGACATCAAATATACTTTTAAAAAATAGCACAGAGATTTAAAGACATCAAATATACTTTTAAAAAATAGCACAGAGATTTAAAGACATCAAATATACTTTTAAATAATAGCACAGAGATTTAAAGACATCAAATATACTTTTAAATAATAGCACATTGGGTGTTCCCAGATCCCAAGTATGCAAAATGTATATCAAATGAAGCTATTTAACTGGAAGTGGAATGAAAGTCTTTGCCCTTTAAACACTACATATATATATGGTATATCACATGTTTGAGAAGCAAAACGTGAGATCAACACATTTAAGCGAATTGCTAAAACTTGAAGGATAATGTGTGTAATGTTCAATTGGTGCCCTTCCATCCTTTAGCTCACTGACAAGATCCAAATCACAATTAATCACAAACAAGTATATAAGAACTCTTGTCGGGGTTACAGTCAGCTAATAGATTGATCAGCAGATTCACGATACTGAATTCTTATGAATGAAAGCAATCAAAGTACAAGGGAATTTGCAGCAATTTAGGCAAGCGAAACTGATATTTCCAAAGGATTGACAATTGTATAAACTCAAACACGTGAACAGGAAAATAAGCAGCAGCTACAATCAACCCAGTCTGAGTAAACGGATAAACTGACCAGCAAAACATGACACTACAGAGAATCAATCACAATCAGAGTATATCTACTCACATATGGAACAATATCTAGACAGAGAACATGTTGAAATTAGAAACGAAATGAGGTAGCAATTCAAATTATGAAGATTTAGGACCTGAATGCAGAAGGGTTGATGTCCACCGGCGCTGCACCACCTCAATCACCCTGCTCAGCTACACCACCTCAATCACCCTGCTCAGCTGCACCTTCAGCCCACAGTCGACAACGAGCACCGCCAACCAGTGGTCATCTACGCCGTTTCCCCAAAAGTGATCCACACCACACTTTGGAGAAGGGGAAAAGGAACTAGCGAAGGAGGACCGAAGCGGCGAAGCGGCGAGGTGAAGTCACTGAAGTGCGAAGAGGAAGAGTGGAAGACTGGAGCCGTGGAGCGAACTAGCGAAGGAAGACCGAAGGCCGAAGCGGCGAGGACCGAAGCGGCGAAGCGGCGAGGTGAAGCGGCTGAAGTGCGAAGAGGAACTGAGGAAGAGTGGAAGACTGGAGCCGTGGAGCGAACTAGCGAAGAAATCAGAAATGAAGAATGAAGATTAGGGATCGGTCAAAATTGAAGTTTTTGTCAATTTTGACTCAAAAATTGGAAACCGCGGTTCACGGTCCAACCCGGTTTTGAAGATTTGACCGGTTTTTTCCGGTTTTGACCGGTTTCTTATAAAAGTCAACATAAGCTATAGACCGGACCGGACTCATGGCCGGGTCGCGGTCGAACCGGTCGACCCGGCCGGTCCGGTCCGGGTTTGAAAACATTTCAAGCATGCCGTCTTGGTATTCGGAATTTCGGAGGAGGTAACAACCTTTCCCGACTTCTGAACCTCTCTTTTTTTTCCCCTATAAATTAAAAAGAAAAAAAAAAGAAAAGAAAGGTACAAATATGTACATGTGGCAAACGAAAGGTGTTTAGTTTACTATACAAAGCTATTAATTAATTATGTCGAGCCAAATTTCAATAGATAATTAAAAGGCCACCCTCGTAAACATGATTTGCCAAATTAAAACATTATTATTATTAGGGCTAGTGGTGCTTAATGCACACACTACAAACAAGTGGACACTCTCAAAGAATTATTTTGAATTTTAAAAATGAGTGTGGGAAAAGAACGAATTAATAATACTATGAGGGTTAAAATTTTCAAGTATTTGAAGCACTTCAATAGCTTAAAGACAAAAGTTAGTCTTATTATCTAGTTAATAATGCACATTGTAAAAATTATAGATCTATCCTTATCGTGTATATATTGACATGTTATGAGGAGAAATTAAGACCTTGTTTGGATTGCAGTTTTTCGTCGAAAAATTACGTTATTTTTCGTGATTACATTTCTCTATTATCTTTTTTCCTCACATACATTGAATCGTTACAATAATTTTTTCATGAAAAATCATGAAAAATGCAATCCAAACACTAAGGGTTTGATCTACGGTTCAGAAAATGACGAGAAAATTAACACCATGATGATGTCTCTCATAACAAAGACTCAAAGGAATATCAAGTAGAAATTTCGGAAAATCCATAGCATCTTCCAAAAATTTTCTGAAAAACTTTTACCAAGTTGGAAAGGACCGGCAAAAGAAAACATTATTGATTTTATCCATCACAGCTACCGTGAAAGAGTCATGAGCAGCAAAAGAATCATGCATTATATTCCCAACCCCCAACCAGCAATACCCAACTAGTGCGAGATTCATTGATCGGTGCCAGTTTTACGATTCCATCAACGACCTTCGCCGTTATCTCAAGCTACTGATAGAGTGTTCTTGTATTTTTTGTTTGCCTGCATGCCCTCTTAGCGAAGTCGTAGCTGGCTGTACTTCCAATTCCAAGCCTCCCTCGCCCATAAAACGGCCAAATGACGACACCCACAAACTACGTGAACTCGCTAGGGGCGTCGGCAGTCCTTTTATTCTACCTCCTCCCGTCACATATCTATACAATTATATACAAAGAGAAAACAACATTATTAATTTATTGTGTGGCGTAAACACATAGAGTGTACTTAGATAATAAATCGTTTAAAATAATTTTTTTGAAAAAAATATTATAACATATTTTTGATGTGACATACGTAAGATAGAGAGATGATTGAAAAATATGCTGATACCCTACATAAAAAAGATTCGTAAATAATTCCTTTGAAATTTCTGATTTTACCCTTATTATAAGGGGAAATTGGTCCCATATATATATATTCCAGAAAAGAACCCCCTTACAATCTGCAATTAGTTATCTTATTGAGATCGATTCAGAACTTCATCGCACTAACTACTGCACATTTTCTAATAATAACTTCCTTCATTTAAAGTACTCCATCCATCCCATATATTTAATCATACTTGGGGGTACGTTGCTTTGCTTTTTATGTACAATACACTCCACTAAGAAGTTTTTTCTTTTGTTACACTTTTATCCTTAATTATGTGTTGTTCAAAGTAAAAAATAGAAAGCAAGTCCATCACATTTGTCTTCATGCATCATTAACGAAGAACATAGAAAAAACTTCAGAGTGTAAAATAGTTAGAAATATCAAATATGACAAATATTTTTGAACAACCAAAAAATAAAAATATGACACTTTTAATGGACAGAGAGAATAGTAACTATTGATTTTTCAGATAAATACATGCACACACCTACATGTATATATATATATATATATATATATCTGTCGTGATATGCATCTTAATATGAAAAAGATAATCCATTCATTTTCTTGGACTAGCACGCGCCTAGGGTTTATAAAATGTCTTTGCTATTTTTCTGAGGGCATTTTCGTCATTCGACATCGAACAAACCTAGGATGACGAACTAACCTGGCATATCTCGTAATTACAAGGAAAGAGCATGGGCCTTTACACATTTGAAGACTCTGTCCAAACTCCAAACAGACAAAGTTGCAACTTGCTCGTCCACTTGCACGGGTCCGGCGTAAGCTGTTTGGTAATCAAATCAAATGCAACCCCCACACCCACCCCCACATCCCCGCCCCCCCCAACCCCCACACAGTCCTCTCCCTCTCTCTCTCTCATCCCCACCCTTCTCTTCCATCCCACCCCCAGGCGTAAAAGTTCTCCGAGGAAAGATCAAAGTATTGCAACTAGACAAACATTTTATATTAGTTTTAACTTCCCTTCTCTGTCCACCGTATATATATGTATCCATTAGCGTCAGTTCTTCATATATATCATCATCCACCATCCAAAGAGAGCAGCTAGATTTTGGTTTCTTTGGTTTCTTGCTTTGTTTTTTTTTTTTTTCATTCATTTATTCTTTCTCACTTCCTTCATTTACAGATACACAGATAAAAGTCGAGGAGCCATCGGAGGGGGGCAAAAAAAAAAAAAAGAATAGGAAAAAAAAATGCCTATGCCTTCGTCCCTTCAAATCCACAGAATCACTCCTCCTACAACCACCAATTCCGCGGCCAGCCCGGCCGCGGCAGCCATCAACTTTCAGAAACACGGCCAGCCCACGTGGGTGATTCCAGTGCCCATCTCTGTCCCCGAGAATGTCTTGCACTGCCACACCCACGCGGTGGGTCCCAACCAGTGCTGCTCCGCGGCTGTGCAGTCCATCATGGCTCCTGTCGACACCGTGTGGTCCGTGGTGCGACGCTTCGACAACCCTCAAGCCTACAAGCACTTCCTCAAGAGCTGCCACGTCATCGTCGGAGACGGCAACGTGGGAACTCTCCGAGAGGTGCACGTGGTTTCTGGTCTCCCCGCGGAAACCAGCACCGAGCGGCTGGAGATTCTGGACGACGAAAGGCACGTGATGAGCTTTAGAGTTGTGGGTGGCGAACACAGGCTCCACAATTATAGGTCCATCACCACTCTCCACGCCACGCCGGACCATAGTGGGACAGTGGTGGTTGAATCCTACGTTGTCGATATACCCCCGGGCAACACCAAGGAGGAAACTTGTGTTTTTGTCGATACCATTGTGCGGTGCAACTTGCAATCGCTGGCTCAGATGGCGGAGAACTTGGCCAAAAAAAGCAACAGTAAATCATCGTGACCACTAAATTAAACTACTATATTATTTGTGTATTTGAGTTATTTTCCTTTCTTTCTTTCGTATTTTTGATTGATGATGGACAGAGTTTTTCTCTCTCTTTTTTTTTTTTTTTTGTGTTTCATGTACGGTGTTGTAGATCATGGAAGCCCAGAACAGAAAAGTGGTAGATTGATAGTCGGATTCTGATGAATCCTTTGAGGTTGGTTCGCAAGATGATTAGTTTGAAGGTGATAGCTTTGATACAAACACTCTTGATGATCATACTCATATTCATATGTAGTACGGAGCGTAAAACTCTTTGTTTCCTCCATCGACCATGTAACCATCGATCGATATGTGTTAGATGTTTATGTCACTGTCACAGTCATTCTCCTAATTATCTGTTTTGATCACCATCCACAGTGCCTTCCTCCCTGCTTCCATTTTCTTCTTTAGGTGTTTCTTTACATTCATTCATATGTAACAATTCCACTTTAGAAATGATTTCTACCATCGCCTTAGCCTCACACAGCAGTCAGTGCTGATGAATATCGTTGATTAATTTTTAGTATGCATTGTACAGGGACTGTATTAGGTGTTCTCCTACACCTTGGCAAGAGTATTCTTTTCTAGATTTCAAATTAAACGGAAATATTCTAATATTTTGGCCACCGACGTCCTCCTCCGCTCTGGATTAATCTAACACTAGTATATGATGAACATTCACTTACATGGTACTATATCTTTTTCCTTTTTTTTTGGTTTATGGTTAAAGCTAACAACGTACAATGTGGGAATCAAAGTCAGGCCATTGGTATTTCTTTTTTTTTTTTGGCCTAGATGTACGTATAGAGGACAGGATATACGCTGCAGGGCCAAGTAATTCAATTATGAGATTATATATATATATATATATTGAAATATGAAATCAGAAGTTTGAATTCATTAAGTTATTGAGTTGTTAAGTATTAAATCTAATACATTTGAGTGCATATCACGTTCAGTGATAAGTGAATAGTTTACCACTTAATTTTGGAAGCAAGTTTTGCCGAGAAAATTCAGTTAGTTTCGTTTAAATTAATTCAGATAATATGTTATGTTAGGATCTGAATCCGTTGAGTTGAGTTTAAGTGCTGAATACATTTGTTTGTGAGTTGAATTCATCGAGAGAACATTTTTTTATATCGTTTTTTTTCTAAATTCTAGTATGGTGCCACTGCTACCCAATTGGCGATCCATCCAAACATAAGCAGCTCTGCTCTTATTTGTTGAACGCATTTGCATGGAACATTCATGAACTTTTTTAATTCACCGGTCGGAATGTTGCGAAATTGTGCTTACAAGTTCCGAAAACTACCGAGGTACATACCGGGCGGGCAACTTGTTGCGAGACTCAGAAAAAGTAATCCAGCTTGCAATGCAATGGTCCCTTGGGCTAATCATGATTTGTTTAAGCATAAGATCTCATCCATAAAACTACTCTCGGCACGGCGCTCTTTATTCGTGAAACACGATGATTAGATAAATTGTTTGCGGTGCAATCTGGACAGATTAATGCATGTTGTAGTAATATATATACATATATATGTGTGTGTGTGTGTGTGTGGTAGCTAAGTGCCGCAGCTGCTGGTTGAAAAATGAAAACCGAAGGATTTTTCCGTAGGAGGGGAGGGGAGGGGAGGGGCAGATGAAGGGGCGAGGAGAGTTGGAAACTTGGAATGGAACATTTATTATATTAAAAAAAAAGAAAGAAAAGAAAAAAGGTACAGCTAGTTGCGGGTGTTGTGTGGAAGAATCAACACAGCCAAGTTGACGCTGATGACCAACTTGCTCTCCAAACAAAAGCAACTTGTTATGAGTATTTTACTTTTCGATGCCTCTCAATTTCTTTTCTTTTTTTTTTTGATATATATATATAAAAAAAAATTAGTAGTGTTGTTGTTTCTGCCTTCTGGAAGGATGGAAGGAGACGGGAAATGGAAGCAAGTTGGTGTGCAAGTGGGCAGCAAATGCTTTAATTGATCGATCTCTTCCCATTTGCCTAATATTTTTGCCTATACTACTTGCCCATTCCTTTCCTCTGTCTTTTTGTGATTTAGCTTCCAAAGAATCACGAGACGACATATCTGCGTGCGTTGCGTACTCCCCAATAATAATGAATAATCTCCAACCCCAGGGGACGCGACTGGACTTCCTTGTTTTTATCAATTAAACTATTGGTTGTCGATTACTATCACCATTTTTCATTTTCTTCATCCTGTTACAAGTTGGACCGGAGGATGGGGATATAGTATCATTTATCTACTCTTCACTGGAGCGCGCAGTTGCGGGTCTTTTTTTTTTTCCCAGAAAATTAAAAACACTCGAATCTCCTCGATGGTGGTAATTACCTCAATTTTTAGATGCTTTGCATATGCAGGGATAGTGATTAGTGACATAACAGTGTGTGAGTGGTTGTGTATCCCAAAAATAATAAGCAAATATTTGCCTAAAATGAATATTTGCTACAGCTTCGCTTTTAATCAAGACATTTGTGAGAGGAGAAATCGCTCTGCTCATGTTTCGTCAAATGAATTTTTTTTCGTCTTTCATTTTTAAAATGCTCACACACTTTACGTGTCTCTTACAAAACTAAGTATGTTGCATATATTTGGTCCTAACCTAAATTTCTGAACAATTTTCAGCTTGAATGCACCAAGCGACCCACCCACATGCAGTCATTTTTTTAGGCGTAAAGATGCCAAGCCTCATTTGTAGCTAAAAAAAAATTACTCCGCTCACATTTATTTTTGTCCCTAAAAAAATGAGATGTGTCCTTTTTGCACCAAAAAAAAAAAAAAAGAAAAAGATGAAACGAGTTAATTAGAATCGAGTTGGTGGAGGTCTTTTACAAGAGGTGCAAAGTTGACATTGCAAAGAGTCAATGATAAGGTATATTTTTTTGGTAGTTCAAGATAAGTGATGAATAACAGAAAAAATTCGGAAAAAAAGAAAAGAAATTTTCCATATTCCATATCGATGTGTAGGACGTATATGTCTCTCATTTTTCGTTCTTTAGTTTCTACACGAAGCATTAAATATATATATATACATCTTGACCACCAAAATATATACTCCACCACATTGAGTCTTATAAATATGTACATTTACTTTACACAGAAAATTTACCAAAGTTTTAACAAGAATTAATTAAAAGTTCGTAATAAGGTAACGGCATAGTACATCTTTCACCAATCTAACATGAATTGGGATCCATGTGCAACCGAAAAAAAAAATTCTGCATTATTGACTTCTACGGATTACTTGTACAAACAAATTACAAAAAAAAAATAAAAATAAAAATTTTAATCTTATTGAGCGTAAGAGATTTTTTTTACCCAGATAACTAAAAGCGCAACTCATTTATCTTGATGGTGGTAAATTAATTTACGAGAAGTTGTGCCATTTGAGTCCCAGAATGACTATTTCAAACTACTGCCGAAGCCAAGGACGGAGATGAACAACCGCCGCCGAAAAAAAAAAACTAAAACACAAAAGAAGCAGAAGTCTACCCATTAGACATTTTCAGTTGTGGGTATTTATTGAGAAGTGATAGACTGATCATTGGAGTCAAATTAACTCCTACTCCCACTAATTAAATTGTTGATTTGCGGTAGGCGTTGTCAATATGAATATTGGATATGTAGGGATGGTGCCGCCAGTGATTATATATCTGAAAATTTATAAGCAAATATTTGTCTAAAATGAATATCAAAAGCTTCACCTTCGCCATTGCCTTTTTAAGGCATTATTAGGTAGGGGTGGGCAAAATTATCCGCTAACCCGAAAACCCGTCATATCCGATCCGAAAATTAGGATATCCGATTTTTATTATTTGATCGGGTCAAAAGAGGGTCGGGTATCCGCTAAGATGCGGGGCAGGTTAGAATCACATAATTAAAAATCCGCGGGTACCCGATCCGCCCCGCATATTTATATTTTATTTTTATTTTTATTTTTATACACACACTATAAAATAAGTAATTTTATTGAACAAATTGCATTACAAATATGAGAGACTATAGTTTATTTACAAGATTCATTTGTAAAGGCCATGATCTTATATTTTATAGAAAAAAGTTTAATTAATGTGGAACATGTATATTAAAAATTGTGCTACTTATTTCAAACTTTTATTGATTTTGAATTCTTTTAATTTTTTCCCTTCATCTTATATTCTCTTCATATGCTTGTTTCTTGGTAGGAAACCTTTTTTTAGAAAAAAAAATTATTAAATCTTAGATGAATGTGTAAAATATAAAATTAAATTGGTATAAATCATTTTTTTAAAAAAAATTAAATGATAAATAGGGCGGGATGGGTACCCGCTGATCCGACCCTATTTCAGATTTTCGGGACGGGTAAGGGTCAGAAAATGGCTGACCCGCAAGGTGCGAGTCGGGTCAACCAAATGGTGAATGGGGCGGGTACCCGACCCGCGCCCACCCCTATGATTAGGTGGTGAAACTTGGCGCTAGTGAGCTAATCCAAAACTACAACTAACTACAATTTGCTTTCCCTTTCTTTCTTTTTTTTTTTTGTTCGTTATAAAAACAAAAGTCAACATTATTAATAAATTAGTTGAAAATTGTCCCGCATCAATGACAAAAAATATATAGAACATATCACAGATATATCTGAATTGAAAAGTAATTAGATCTAACAGAGGTAACGCTTTTGGCTTTGAATGAATTTCAACATTTAACAACTAGAATAGAGTTGGTGGAATAATTTTTTTTTTTTTTTTTGCAAGTGGTGCAGATTAAGTTGACATTACTAAGAACGAGTGATAAGGTAAACAATTCTTCCTTTCTGGTAGTTCAACATACGAGATGCTTACCACCAAGTTGCATGAAAGCGCAATCCATTGATGAATAGCAGAAACAAAAGAAATTGCTGATTCGAAAAAAGAAGAGGAAATTTCCATACCCCATATCGCTTTGTTGTAGGATGTGTAGTATGTTGCTCATTTTGTTTTAGTAACTGGTTTCTGCACGAAGCATTGCATATATAAACTAACCTACCACATGGAATCTAATAAATATATGAACATTTAATTAACAGGGCAAACCTACAAAAGTTTGAAAAAGAAGTAAAAGTTGGTAAGTGTAGTTAATGGCACAGTAGCACCTCATTCACCATGTCTAATTAACATGAATCCATGTGCAACCACGAGATAATCAATCAAATTAACAGAGGGTACCAGGATTTATCTAAAATTTCTCCCTAACAGATAGAGTTTTTCATCTTATTGGCAGGATTATTGTCCTTTTTTTTTTTTTTTTTTTTTCTTTTGATCCCCTATTCGCGGCTGAAATGAAAAAGTCAGTAGTTGCATACAAAGAAAAATTGACAGCCCTAGTCTTCTTTATATCTCAAGAGTTGATGTGCTAAACCGAATCCAAAGCGTATCATGTATTCAAACACGTGAGCGAGAGATGCGTTGGACTTCTGGTTTATCTCATGTTACTTAAACCTCCTATCAATTGCAAAATTAATGCTACAAAAAAGACATAAAAATCCCTTTCTTTCTCCATGACATAAAGATCCCTTTTCCTTCTCAAACTCGCGCCTCTTGCTAGAAGCTCTAACCTCATTCCGCCCCCACCCATTACACAACACACACTTCACATCACTTGACAATGGCCATGGATATCTGAGTTGGTTTGGTTTGTAGGACAAAAGTTTTATATAATCCCATCCTACTATGGAAAAGAAAACCGGGCAAAGACAAAAAGGACGTGATACATTACAAACTACCACATTACTGCATAGAATAAGCGATTCAAGCAACGCATGCCAAGAATTAAGACTGGACGACCCATGAAAGAAAGCTCAGGACCATTACTGCAAATGAATCCTTTTAAGTTTTAACCTCAAGCACCGCTGTTTAAGAGTTAAAATGATATCGAATTTGTTCACTCCACAAAAGTCGCTTGTAGTAGACGAAGCCAATCAGCCGTAACTCTCCTGTTGAATCCCCAGTTGCGTTGCAGAGATGATTCATCAGGACTTCCCAAATCCACCATCTTTTGGAAATTTAAAAAAAAAAAAAAATCAATCAATCAATCGTGCGGAGTCGCATTATATACTATTCCAGTGGGGAACCGGGGATTGATTGAATTTTGCAGTACTGCTTCTATATTCTGGATTCACCGACTTACTTCTGGGCCAACTTTTCACTCCACTCCCGCTTCACAGATCACAGCATATGGGGCAAGGGGATAAGTCGTGGACCAACTAATTCTGATGATTTTGGTAATGGGGCCCCATAGTCATCATCCAAAGCATTCCGGGTGGTTGATGTCTATGAGTTGTCTGATCCAATCCAAACTGTGTATTACTGTATCGCTTGCGAGAGCATGGACTCCACAAACAAAATACCAGGCTTCTGATTGCCCCCATATGAAAGTATGCAATTTTCATTGGGCAAGCGTAACCTTAAGATGTACAAAACTGATTGAGAGAGTGAAACAGGACGCACCAAGGCCCAATATTCGTCCTTGGAAATATTCCAACTAAAATTCTGACCCACAATCTATGTTTAAAAGTCCAAAACCAAAAAAAAAAAAAAAAAAAAAAAACTTTGAACAAAAACAATGTAAGGTATTTAAAATAAAATAAAATAAAAAAACTTTCTCCGTCCGCTGGAGAGGTCAGTGAGCAACCTCTTTCGTTCACGTTCCTCCACGAAAGAAAGAAGCCAAGGCTGCGTCCAAATCTTTGATCTGATCATCACGTGTGGGAGTAGCCGCTTATATTGGTTTGTGCTGTACAAAGAGGGTTTAACTGAGATGATTGGATGGTGCGGGGAAAAGAGTGTAAGCGAGAGATTTTAGATTCAAGTTCTAAAATGTCTAATGGGATAAAAGAGCTTGGCAAGGATAAAAGATGAAGTCAAGGATAAAAGAGCTTGGCAAACAAAAGCTCGTTCCAGGTATCATGGAGGCCGGGCAAACACCAATGCGTGCAATCGGCATAGCTGACAGGGTTGGCTAGCTGCTGCGGGGTGAGGGGACTCCATTGTTTCTTGTAAATGGATGTATGTGCATCCTTTCGGTGACTTGATAGCTGCGTGATGTTGAGAAACGTTATAGGCACCCTGGTTTTTCTGAATTCTTCTCCGATCACTTGCATTATGCTTTTCCGGGTATCTGAACCCCAATAATTTGGATCTTCTATCAGCTTGGTCTCATTATAGCAGTTCCCATCTGGACTGCCGCCCCACTCTATGCTTCTGAAACAGGCGTCATCAAATCAATTTACGTTGAGTAACTACCTCTGTATTATGATGCAATAACATATATGTCGAAGTTTTATTCCGTGGATCACGAAAGATTAAATACCATTTCTAACATGGACGCTAATTTTTACGTGCGCATGAGAGTAATGGTAGTAGTACTTACTTTGCATGAGAGGGTGACATGCTAGCGAAGAAGACTCTAGTTTTCTTGGGATCCATATTCCTCTTTATCCATCTTAACATGGTTTTCATTCCCATACGATAAGCATCGTCCGTAGACACTTCCGCAATATCTTTCACTTCATCACTAAAAGACCCTTGCCTGTTGTCCGGATTTTGTAGATTTTTCAGATCAGGTCTCACAAAAATGTATATCTAATTAGATCATAAAACAAGAACGATCAAATGAGCAACAATCGTATTGAGGGGAGTGTTTAACATACAGTATCTTGAATGTTCGGCCGGTCATCCACCACAGGTAGGTGTTGAAAACCATTATATCAACTCCTTTCCAATTCTTTCCATGCTTAATAATTGAACCTTTACGGACTAGCCTATCAGATATTCTGTGTACGATAGCATCATCCGAGTTGGACTCGAGGAGAAACGGTGCCCAGTAGAATTCGATGGTTGCATTGTATTCCTGGTCAACATCAAATAATTAAGGCTGCTAAAATATTAGCACAGATACATACATATATATATATATATATCATTCTCATATCGTCATCCACTACAAATGCAAATACTACATAGCATTTGTACACTGATATATATATATATATATATATATATGCGCGCTTGCATTTGGTAATTCCAACTCACCTTTGCTGTGAATATAGTAAGTGAACCATTAGTTGTCATGGATTTGGCGTCTTCAGGGATGAGTCTGTGGAGAAGGCAGACCATGGAAACATACTGCCCCCTGTTTAGGGAATCGCCGACGAACATCATTCTCTTTCCTCGAAGCGTTTCCAGCATCAACGTGGCATTGAAACTGCAATTTTTTTTTTTTGGAAAATGCACAAACACTGTTTATTGCTCCTTGCTGGCAGTAATTAACTTGGCACACCGCAGCTAAACTTGCAGTTTGAAAACAGATTATTGTTCATTTGGATAGTGAGATGGTCCGTAAAGCAAATTGGAGAGAATCATACTCATCAGTCAACACAACTATTTGTATTAAATTATAGTAGTAAAACTGTAAAACATGTTCAAGATCTTTTATAAGTCTCAAGCCCATCCTATATTAGTTTTAAGGATTCCAGCAGCAGGCAATGTAACTACGAGACTTACTCGCACATATATTATACTTTCATATATAATGGATAGTAATTTTTTTTTATAGCTGGGGATTTTAACAATTCACAAATGTTTCTGAAAATCAGGAAAAAATTACTGGTTGAAAGCAGTCTGTAATTTTCAAAGTCATAACAGAGTTTTTAATATATTATTCCTATTTTCATGGAATTCAGGCAGACCGGTTCCAGAGGTCAAAGTATTTGCCAATCCGCAAATCGCAGTTGGCATATTTATACACGTTATTATAAGTAGGTCCAATATCCAGAGTTGGATTTTCCTTGACTTGCAGTGAGTGATTAGGGGCTTTCAGGTCAAGTAGGCGGGTGGAACGGTTGAACCACCGCTATACGTACAAAGGTGGCGATGTAATGTAAGCCAAGGTTGAGAATCACTTTATTATTACTAGTATTAGTTATGGATGGTAGGCACAAAATCCACCAAATACGACTGCGTCGGCTTCATATTACCGGCTCACCATGAACACCACCACCATATGGTATTAGCAAGATTTTTTTTTTTTAACAAAAACGTTAGAAATATTATTGATATCAAAACAATTAATTAATTCTACTAACTTAATCAAAAGAATATTCAAGGATTCCTTCCTCGTCTTGTACTAACTTAGTAGCATAGGAGCTAATTATTCTACTGACTTAGTAGCAATTGGTTAGCTAATTAATATTTTCCTGTTAAAAGTACCAGAAGTAGCTTTTCTTTTTTCCCGACAATATAATATTTTTCTCCCTTGTTGAAACTTTTTCTAGAACAAAAAATGTTCTTGTCAAAAAAATGGGAAAAGTGAAAGCTATTCCCTCCTACTACCTGTGCTCACGCGTAGAGTGTACGAGAACCACCTGGACTTAGTCTAGAAAGCCCAATGTTATGGACTTTGTCATTCACATTGAATTCCAAAACTAATACTTCTAATATTTTGATTTTGTTTTTTTTTAAAAAAAAAGAGTAAAAAATAAACAGAGGGTAAAGACTAAAAAGAGGAAAGTGCAACGCAAGTTCTTGTTGCGATTACCAAAGAGATTAAGGAAACCTGCAGATTCCCGTTATATCCGCCGCATGATTCATTTTCAATACCCAGACACGAGATCGTGAGAAGATCGAGGGGGAGTAAGAATCACTAGTATGGTACGGCAAAGGCTTTAATTATATGTTATTTGTAAAGAAAAGAAAAAGAAGGTGACCTGGGAAGTGTACAGCCATGAGGCTGCCATCGCCAATACTGATAGTCCTTATCAGGGCGGCCGTGTTCTTGGCATGTCAGCTGCGGTTGAATATACGGACATTCTGATTCCTCGTACAGCGGCCGGTTCACCTCGTCCCGAACCCATCTCCCGCTAAACACATCACATCCTTCCTCAGTTTCTCCGATGGCAAAAGGTAACTTCCCTCCGTTCTTCTCTTTCAACGCCAACAACCAACAAACAAAACCAATCCGTCAATTGATATTTCCAGCTCGTGAAGCTCTAAACAGAAAAAAAAAAAAAATAGAAAAGACGATAAGATGAATCTGTTATGTTACTCACTGGTAGGTGAGATGGTTTGGTACTTGTTGTGTTTAGGATGGTCAGAGTCGTCAAATTGGCCGAAGAGGCAGCGCAAGTCTTGGCTGTAGAGGATGGTGACGAAGGCAACGAAGGCTAGGAAGGTGAGGAGAATAGGAGAGACCCTGGCCTTTTTCAGCAGGAAACTGACTCGAGAAGACGAGGGAGCTGGTGGCTTCATTTGAAGCCTGAAATCCTATTGCCTCGTGCCTTCCGAATTCGTTTTTTACTTAGGTTCGAAGGGTGACACTCCTCTATGATCAAGGGAAAGTGTCATGTGTTGCAGTGGAATTGGTAGATTAAATATAGGATTATTACAGGTCATATGAAACCAAGTTCAACTTCGTGGCCCCACCTAGCTAAGCTACCACACGGAATAAACAAACAATAACAACACTTCATGAATAAGCACAAGAGATTTTCTAAAATACCAAATGTGGAAAGAAAAAAAAAAGAGGAGGAAGAAGAAGATGATGATGATGAAGAGAAGGGTAATGAAGTTGAAAAAAAAAATGCTTTGTTTGATTAATTTCGTGCTTTTGCTATCATGTCCTTAACACTTGTTTTCCTGACCCAAAAAAAAAGCAAATGATTATTTTGTAGTAGTACTAGAGTTACTTGAACTGTGCAAGGCACAGTTTGAGCCCCTAGAAATTTAGTCGAATGCGGACAAGGGGCAGGGACCTGAACAGTCAACGGTCAGATTTTGGCAAAAAAAAATATACGGTCCAGATTACAAGTTGTATATCTATTTTCACAACGTGTGTGGGGCCCGTAAATTTTTATACTAAAGTTACACATTGTGCAAACAAAGTTACGCCATGTGCAATCAAAATTACGCGCCGTGTAAAATGACCAAAATGGCCACTGTCCGTCGAATGCATAGCATCAAATTATTTTGACAAATGATGAATGAATAGAAATATAGGAGAAAAATTGAGCATTAAAGCAATTAAATTTGACAAATATTATTTGAACTCTCATTTTTGTTAATCATACTTTCGTTATTATTTTTATCGTATAGTTTTTGTTTATTGTAGGAACACAATTAACACAATATGGAGTATAAATAAAATTTCTTTCAAAATTTGCTGTGAAGAGAAATTCCATCTATGAAGTCAACCTTTCTATTTATTGTGACTTGAATAAAGATTTTTGAACCACTATTATGATGATACCCAAAAAGGAGATAAACTTAATACACTATAAGTGCATTGGTGTATTAATAGTAGTATAGTTTTAGTTAAAACTAAATCAAAAGTAGTCGTCATACTTTTAGTACTTTAATAATGAGAAAAAATTTAGGAAGCTACTAAAACATGGCACAATCTTCAACATCAATATAGTTTACTATAAACTTTCATATTTTAATTTCTTTTGATAGAAGAATCCAGTTCATCTATTTAAATTCTACTTAAAGGTGACAACATTATCCTGCAGCTCCTGAATATAAATAGCAAAGTTAGATAAAAATATGAATTGCCATGTTTCCTGGTCTACATATACAAATTAGAATTGAACTATTTTTTTTTATTGCAAAAACATCTTCCTAATCAAAATTGAAATTTCTAACAATTTTTTGTCAAGTCACACTCTAGGCCGAAAGCCTCAATTGTGACTTCCACCACCGACTGCAATCCTTGTATACCAACCCAATTCATACTACAACACTTGAGTAATTAAAAAATAAACAAAACTTAACTTTAGTTTAAATATATACAAAATCTTATTGGATCCTTCAATTAAATTTAATAGGCCATAAAGTAATTGCAAAAAGAAAGAAATGGAGAAAAACGGAGTTACAAGAATGCCTAGCTAGATTTATCTTGGTGGAAATATCACATGATATATCTTTCTCCTAAACAAATACACAAAATTGTAGATAATTACAAAATGTAACCAAAAAACAAAGAAAAGGAAACAAAATGTGAAGTAAGAAATCAAATCATAGGAGAAGAAAATAAAAGGATGATTTTTTGTTCTATTATTCATAGAAAATAATCATTGGTATAAAATGAATTCTAATTTTTTTTACATATTTTAAAATTTCACCTTTTATCCATGAAGAACTACCAAATAAAACATCATCCTATGAATTTAACAAACAAATGCTAGTTGGCTATATCATTATGATAAAAAAATAGAGCAAACATGTGACATTAGAGATGAAGAAAAAAGGAAGAAAAGAAAATATAAAATGGGATAAAAAATGATAAAGAATTCTTTTTGCTAAGTAGTTATCATCTTGACAAAAAAAAAAAAAAAAGAACATGGCAACAATCTTAGTTAGATTAGTTTTAAAAAATAAAAAAGGTGAGGGATGACAATAGTTACTGCAATAAGAAAAAGAAGAGATGGAGTTGATTTTTTCAAGGGGAAAAAATATTTAAATTCTTTAGCCCAATTGAATCAAAAAAGGGAAGGAAAAATTTAGGTAAAATAATCAAAGGTCCACTTGTCAAAAATATATATAATATATGTGCCAAAAAGATGATTAGCTACACTAACTTGGCTTTCTTTTTTATATACAAGGTAGATAGATTTGAAAGACTGTACGTAACTGGTGGAGGATGACTTGCAAAGGTGAATGCATGGTAATGGTAAAACATGCCTCTGCTCATTAGGTATAACAGTAGAGATGTCAAAAGCAGCCCATCATCAGAACCGCCCTTTCTCTCTTGGGGATAACCAGGTAGGTAAATAACAGCCTTCTTGACATGACATCAACTGGAGAAAGGGGAAAAAATAAATAAATATTAACTGCTGCATCGAGTATGCGATGAGAGACTGTGAATGAAACCGAGAAATTTCTTGTACTAGTATTTTTCACCAATGTGTAACTCTAAAGGGAAGTGCCCAACCATCCAAGTAATAATTGCCTTTGTATTTCGTCTAAGACACCTAAGCGGAAAAAAAAAATGATGAAGAAAAGAGGTATAACCATCATGGAGTAAGAACTACGCGATTCATGCTTATTCAGATTTGCACTAGGATTAGGAACGACATAATCATCATTGAGTTATTCATTTTCAATTTTTCCCTGTTACAAAAAGAAATTGGGAATGGTAAATAGATGAATTTGCAGCATAATACAAAGAGGAACGAGGCCCTCCATCGCCAGACGAGATATCTGCTTATCATATGATGACCTTGTAAATTGATGGGTGTTTGTTAGTTAATTACTTTCGATTTAGCCGTTTGTTTCATGAGAACGATGGAGACTACATATATGTTTAGTGGGTTATTGCTGGTTAATTTGTAAAACTTGAATTGATGGACAAAACATAACCGCCACTTACATATGGGGAATCAAGTGCCAGTTTTTGAGTGTGGTTCATGATGACTGGAAAAAGCAGCCATAGTTTTTGCTTGACTTGTAAGATAAAGAGTAGTTGAGAAAGATGGCACATCAATTTCTTCAATCCTCTAGTCTGCCACTGATCGATCATACACAGATTATAAAAATAGACCAAAAATGAATAGTACTAGCTGCCTTTTGGTTTTGGAGTGGTTTAGGTGGGTAGCGAGTGAGTTTTCTGTTAAACGTTTCGCTTCATTCGGTTGGCAATAATGTCTATTTTTGGGTTGGGATTTTGATCCTCCCAAATTTTCACCTTCCGCGTGGAGCAGTTATCACATTATCGTCGGCTAAGACAGCTAATTATACAAGAGTAGCATCATTCATTAATCATTCATTCAAGAGACAAAACAAAGCTTTTTCTTATTTCAGTGGGTGATCGATGTATTTTAACCAATTAGTTTGATGTCCGGATTAAATATTGATGATGATTGATGAGTAAATATTGATGAGACAATATTTAATGTGTTTCTTGGTTCATCGTTCATTTGTATGTGGTTCAGGCTCTTCATTTTCGAAAACAAAAAAGGCTGCCTGCGGAATTTGACAAACACTAGATTGGTAGAACGGGTCTGGTTTGTTGTACAGCCTGTTGGCACCAGCTCGATTAGGCGAGATCAGATTCAGTACCTATACTAGCATGGCAGAATGCACAGAGCATTTTAATCCTCTGAATAATGAAAGGAAGTAATTTAAGATATGTAAGATTTTAATAATTGTGATTAAGAAAATAATTTGAAATATGTAAGACTTTAATAATTGTGATTTGAAAAAGATTTTATTATAGTTCTATATGTAATAATTTGATAGAAAGAAAAATCATTAAGATAAGATTAATTGTTTTTTAAATCAATATAATTAAGATATAATTAGTTATTTTTTAAGTTATTTTAAAATTAGAGATAATTTTTAAACATATAATATAAACCAAATAGGATTTAATATGGGTATAACTCATGTGACCCATAACCCATTAATTTTCTTTAATTAAACATGCTACGTAGGAGTGAAAAATAACTCTGATTAAAATAGCTATTTCATATATATGTGTGTGTGTGTGTGTGTGTGTGTGTGTGTAAATTAAACAGAATTAACAATTATAAAGAACCTATAAAGAAAGGATAACAAACTCATTCCTAAGAACCTATAAAGAACAACAGAACAAGCCTCCCAGCCGCTTCCAAAATGTCTCCCTGGAATGGGTTCAGGCTAGGAGAATTTTGAAGAGATTCAGAACGTCAGATTTCCAAAAATTGCTTTGAAGAAGAAATCAGCTTTCATAAACGTCCAAAAACTACGATCATCGCCCCATTGTAGAATCTCGTACATAAAAAAATGTCAGAAGTTGATGTACGTTCAAACCTCGGAGATTACTCTCATTGTTCAAAAATTGACCGGAGAATAGGAGCTCCTATAACCTTGAGAAGGTCCTCTAAATCTCCGGACCAAAGCTACAAAAAAACTCTGCAAATCCAGAGAAAGACAGAGAGTAGATGTTTAGATATTTCCAGTAGAGACTCAAAGCCATGAGAGACCATCTTCTGTGAGAAAAGACAGGAAATATAAGAAAGGGGGAAGGTTTCCTACCATGGAAGACAGGAAGAATAAACATGAAAAAAAAGGGAGGGAAAGACGCATCAATTGAAAGATGAAAACTAATCACAACTATACATTGTCAGAAAATGATAATGCTGTCTATAACCAGTAACTTGACACATTATAATCTAAGTCACAAAATATTTAAAAAAATAAAAACCCAAAGAACTGAAAACCAAATATTATTAGTATCCCGTTTAAGTTACAAGTTCATCAGACACAATTCAAAAAATTGCTTATGTAGAACTTCAACGGCCTAATCATATGATCTTCTACTTAAGCTCAAGTTTGAGATCTGAGGCTTTCTATGTTCAACTTTGACAAGGCAAATTAATATGTAATAATACACCGTACGTTTAACAATCAGAATAGCAATGTCCAGTAG